GAGAGAGAGAGAGAGAGAGAGAGAGAGAGAGAGAGAGAGAGAGAGAGAGTTTATGAGCAAGTGATGCTATGGTCGGGCAATTTCTCTTCTGGTTAGCAGAGTATTGATGCCGTCCGTGGAGGGCTTAAGGTGAAAGAGGTCGATCGTTGGAGCTACCGCTGCGTGAGCAGAGTAGGGGTGTTTTGGGCGGGGTTGATCTAACTGTGTGATTGGAGAGCTGACGTGCCAGAAGCCTTTGCGGCCTCGTGCTGCTAACACCTCGACGACATGGAGGAGGATGCCGGTGGCCAGTACACGGACATCGAGTGTGCCCTGTATACCAACTGCTTGCTCCTGGGATTCGATGCACACCGAGCGCAGGTGGAATTTTCTAGGGGAATGTTTCGCCATTCTAATCCCAAAGGAGGGGAGGCGATCCTCTACTTCTTGTTCAGTTGCGTGCGGCCCCAGCAAGTGGCAAAGGTAATCCTCGCCGCATACGGTTTTATGCTGCTCACACTCTTCTCTCACTCTCCTCTTTCCCTTTTCCTTTCTCTTGCCTCTCTGTCCACCTTTCAGGGCATACTCAGACGGGGACCCCAAATCCGCAATTTGGGAAGCTTAGGGTCGATTTGAGGTTTTGGGCATGGTTCACGTCACACTGCTGTGCCTTTTCAGATAGGACAAGGTCGCGGCCGTCTGGAGAAATGGGGATTTGGTAATTGGCTGGTCACACGGGCCATCCACTAATTGTGCAAGAACTTCTGTGAACGAATTTTTGCCAATTTTCGAAGAAAAATGCAACAAATGAAAAAGGGCATTTGCGGTAACCTCCAGAGGTGACCGCAAAATCCCTTTCCCCCGCGGCTTCCCAGGCCACTGACAAATGGGCACTGGAATAGTACATTTACTAATTCGGTAGATCCGTGTGACCGGCCTTTTACCCTTTTTTTTGGGATTTTGGGGTTATACGTCCCCGTGTGAGTATGCCCTCATTCTCGCCCTCTCACCATCTCGTTGTGTATACCTGTTCCCGCCTTCTTACTCCTTATATTCCCTTTTCCATTCTCTTGCCTGCCTGCGTTTTTACTTTTCCTTCTCGCCATCTCCATTGTTCTGTGCGTAGACCCTCCCCCCACCCGGTTCTCTCTCTCCCTCTTTTTCTCAGGACATTGCGTCACTTTAGGGGTGCTGGTTCCGAGAAAACAAAATTTCTGACAATAATTGGCACATTTCAGAGAATGGTTGCCAACACATATGATGTCGCAGATCTGACCACGGTAATGAAGCTGTCTTGTAAGGAACTCAGACAGATGGACTACCCATGGAAGATAACCCGCACGACGATTTTGGCGTTCATCAGAAACTGCAAGGACACCTAAGTCCGGAATAAATTCCTTGAGTGTCTGGAAGCAGAAGAAACACCAATCGAGAAATGATATAAAGAGAAACATAAAAGCGATAAAAGAAAAAAGAAAAACGCGCATGCGACGGAAAAACCTGAAAAATCACATAAAGGACCGGCAGAATCTACAGATATAATGGTGCAAGAAGTACAGGATGGATTTTCCAACATATGCAGTAAATGAATCGAATCGAAACCCAGGATAATCATACGTTTCCAAAGTACAAGCGACAGGAAAATGAAAGTACTCACCTGAGATATAATGATGAAACCCAATACCTTTCTTAGCCTTTTGGCTAAGATCAAGTGTAGTATCTGTTCTGATCAGTTTAATATCTGATCCGTGGTCCAGCGACCATAAAAAATATATATACGATCGCGCCTCTTTGCCTTTTGGCTGTGTGCAAGTGGGTCGATATGACACACGGGGGTGGGGGCAGCCGCCGCTCAACCTACATCCACGTGGGCGGCCTTG